CTTTCAGTCGTGGGGGTGTTATAATGTGACGATCAATCCCACTATTCGTTGGTAAAAGAGTAGCCCAAGAAATGGTTGTGGGTGGTAATGACTAGCTGCCATCCCTCTAGTCTTACACTGCTAAATTAGGGATGGCTAGCGCAGATAGCCCTCGTGTAGCTTTGCGTGAAATTCAAAAACAAACAAACAAACTCACATTTATTTTTTCATTTTTGTGTATCACTTATTGTTTGTTTTACCTATACAATAATGTTTTAATGTATGTGTGATGTTATTTATATGTTCCATTTCTGTATTAAAATTTTTTCTAATTGTAATGCAACTAGACACAACTTGGCTAGAAACATAACAAACACTCCCTGACACTGAAAGCTGGTGAGACGTTAGAAACCAATACAAATGACTGGCTAAGTAAATTAACTCTACAACAAATTTAATAATGTGTTCATATATATATATTGTTTGTACTTCCTAGACCTTTTGAGAGTTCACATGTCCATTCTGTCACATGAATTCTAGAGCTCTAAATATTTAAAAGTTTAGTTTGCAACAATATTTGGAACCTGTAGTGGGCACAGCACAAATAGCTCATTGTGTAGCTTTAAGATTAACAACAACCAAACCAAAATTTCTCAAATCCCAGATGTTTTGGTAATAATGGGTAATTTCTGTGCTCCCGAGTATTATCAGTTGTTCTTGGCTTTGTGTACAAACTATTTGCCCTGATGAAAGTATAAACTGAAATGTTGATGTGATAGATTAATAAATCTGCAATTAGTTGCTTTTATTTCCAGAGAAAAGCAAATGATTTAACGATTTTTAAATTTCAGATACCATGGTATGTACAGGGTGTTGTGCAACTTTAGATCACATTGTTACTTACCTGTTTAAGCGGTTATCTAAGACCAGTAAAAAGGTGCGTCACCCTTCTGGCCAACAAGATGGGGAAGCCTGTTTACGAGTTTTAGAACATCATCCTGAGATTCTGCAACAGGTAAGTAAGAACAGCTAGTGTAATTTACTCAGGAAATATCCTGTGTAACTTTAATGCTTGCATTTGTGTGGTGTATTTGGGAAATATTTTTCGTAACTATTACCTGCATGTTACCAAACCACGTATTAAAGGTTTATGCTTATTATGATCAGAACAAGAAAATAATGACTACTGCATTGTAGCACAAAGAATGGAGATTTTTATCCTCATGATAGACAACTCTGTATTCAAAATAATATACAATTAAAACTTAAGTATCTGAATTTTTTAGCCACACAGATCCCAATTTTCATTTGAGTCTGCTGCTTCCTAACCACAAATCATGTTCTTAGTAAAAAGCTTAGAATTTAGATTAGACTTGTGAATTCTGTTTTGTAGAAAAGCTAAGATGGACTGATTAGAAATAAATTTCCTAATTCAAAGTAGGAATTGGTAAGAGATTGTAGAAAAGAGCTACTAGTTTAAATATTAGAAATATGAGTTCTTTGAAGTTGTCATCTCAGAAATTGAAATTTTTTGTTAATATATTTATTTTTAAGTTTTTTCAAATTTCTCTTAAATTCATCCAAATTAATTTGTCAACACGTACATAAACCAAGCAATGAATATATTTGTTATTGAGAAGTTAACTAGCGTCATTCTTTAAATATGTTATAGTTTTTGGTACAAGTTTATCCACATCTTTATCCATTTCCACCAGTTGTAGAGAGTAACTATCTCTTTGTTGTTCGTACCTGTACATAAACCAAGCAATGAATATATTTGTTATTGAGAAGTTAACTAGCGTCATTCTTTAAATATGTTATAGTTTTTGGTACAAGTTTATCCACATCTTTATCCATTTCCACCAGTTGTAGAGAGTAACTATCTCTTTGTTGTTCGTACCTGTTAATTAAATATCATATTTCATAAGTTTGATGTTCTATGCTAATCTTCAAACAATTGTTTTTACTAAGCTATCTTATTTGGTAAGAAAAGCTATATTTTCGTTCATAAACTTAATTAAATGACAGTATGAGTTATTATGGGGCAGATTAAAGTCTGTCCACATCAACGTGAAACAACATTTTGGCTTTGTTATCGTAATGACAGTTTTTTAGTTGATAAAAATGTTGATTTGGCAAACCAAATTGTTAAAGAAGAATTTGGTGTCAAGAGGACCGACTGGAAAAAAAAAATTAAGAGTTTATATATATATTCCAGCAAAAATTTAATAATCACTATTGACAAGTATATTATGAATAAAATTTTAAAATACCTTTATGTAGTTTCTGTATTTTACTTTCATACCCAACTGATAAAATAAGTCTGCATGGTTTGTTTTGTATCTTCTGATGATTTATGTTTTGAATTAGATTCTGATTGTAATTTTTTTATTTCAGATTCACATATTATTCAGTAAACTAAGTTAAGACCTAAACTTTTTACATTGTGATATCTGCTATTAAAAGTAAATACAGAGTAACATATTTGAATATTTGTTGTGTTGAATTTGTTTGTGTTCAAAAGTTAATCTTAATTTATCTGCACAGATGCTCTCTACTATCTTGAATATTATCATGTTTGAAGATTGTCGTAACCAGTGGTCTATGTCCAGACCTCTGTTAGGCCTAATCCTACTCAATGAAGAGGTAAACAATATTTGAACTTTGTGTAGAGCTTGAAAGAAGTCTAAATATTCACAAAAGTGTCTGAATTATAACTCGCATATATAGTATTTATGAAAACATTATTGATTTTTACAGAATTTTTAATTGCAACCTTTATAGTTTTTTAAAACTCTCTAACTGTTCATTGAAAGGCTTATTGTGATAAATAGAAATATTTATACATTCATTCAAATGAGTAACTTGTCTGAAACATTGTTCAAAACTTTTTTAGTGTGTTTTAATTAAAATAATAATTTCTGTATTTTAATAAATGTAAAAAGAACTTTGAAGATGAAAGTTGAGTGCTATTGCTAATACTAATAAGAGATTATTAGCAGTGAAAGCTGGCCTCATTTGATAAGCATCATGTATTAATTCCTGTTTTGAAAGTTCATGACACGGAAATGATTTTTAAGTATTTTTAATTTTTATTAATTTGTGCATCACCTTTTGACACCTATCATTCAGAATATAACCTATAGAATTTTTCACTGGTTGAAATCTGTCGTTTAAAGCAGAATGTGTCTAGAAGTAGATCTTTTAAATAATTTTCCTTTTCATGAAACCAATCACTCAGGACAGAACATAAAGCTGGCCAAGTATTTTGTATTTGAGTTTTTCATGAAAATTTCAACTAGTTTCCCATTCAAGCATTCATGATTAAGAGAAAGTTCTTACAGTTGTTGAAAAGGAAACAAAACCTTAGTGAAACAAACCTATTAAATATGCTAATCAATAAAATATACTATTAAAATAGTTACTAAAGTATTCACATATAAATGTTTTTTTTAGTAAAGTATTTTACAAGATTAATTATTTATCTTTGAATGAACACCAAGAGGACTTCTGAGGACAAAAGTGAGAAAAATACTTTTATTTTCAATAACTAAAAACGTTCATGGCCATATTAATTGGAAACTAACTGCTATAGAATTAAAGGTTAAGTACAAAAATGTTTGTTAGAATGCAGACTAGAGTATTATTATACAAGCAGTTTCTCTTAATAATATAGTATTATCTTTGTATTGTTGGGGAAATTAAGAATATTTAAGTTAAAATGAAGCAATAAAATTCTATAACTTTTTATTTTTTGTATGCTTCGGCCAAGAGTAGGTTTGATATTCAGTTAGTCAGGAGCAGGAAAACATAATTCTTGGGGGCACGTGCGATCAAAAACTAAATAAAACAATCCTTCTGAAAATACAATACTGCTAAGTGCTTTGAGTAAAAGTTTAAAAGCTGAAAAATATATTAATTGGGACCTGTTAGTTTGTAGAGATTTTGATTTGAATGTTTAAGTTCAAACTTTGTTTTCTCTGTTTTACTCCAGTACTTCCATCAGTTAAGACAGAATATTGTCCAAACTCAACCACCAGATAAACAAGCTGCCATGGCTCAGTGGTTTGACAATCTCATGGAAGGAATAGAAAGAAATCTCTTAACAAAAAATAGAGACAGGTTTGTGTTACTTCTACATTTTGTACTTTAATTTAACAGAACAAAGATTCTTATTAAAATTTGAAAGGTGAAAATCATGCTAAGAAAATGTATATTACATTATAATACAAAAAGTTCAATTCAGAATGCTTATTTTATGTGGTGTAAATAGGTTACAATATATTATTAGTATATCTAATCTTATTTAAGTAAAACTAATAACCAGGGGAACTTTTTTAGGTAGAAATTCCATAATTTTCATTGTTTTTTAAGTAATTATATTAACTTTCACACTAAAACGATATAAACGTGAATATTCTCGAGACATGTTAAACTTTCAGGTGCATGCATTACTGATATTTGAAATGCATTGTCATTTATGTGTGTTTAATAAATATAAATGTGCAATCATAATATCGTTCAAAAAAGGTAGAGATTAGTAGAAGCACAAGATTATAAACATTATGCAAGATATAACAACATATAGTGAACCTTGGCTGGTATTGAATATTGCTAGCTGAGACAATACCTAGAGGAGTTTTAGTTGGGTTATTTTCATAATATTTGCATTATTAAAGATCTAAACTATTTATTTTTCAGTGGAGTAATCAGCCTATATACATTGCGTAGGATACATTACTATTGGTGTACCACTTAATCAAAATAAGATTGGTTGATAAAATGGCAACCGCCCAGTATTCTGAAGGCATGATAGTCACAGATTTTTGGTCTTTGCAATATAAGTCAAAATTGAATGAATAAACAAATTCATAGGTCCATAATAGATTAATGCAATCTCAAATGAAAAGTTTAAAGGTTACATTTTGGCAGGGATTTGGGGAACCAGTCACCCCTGATGGCTTGCTCTCATTTTAAATACGAACAACAGAAATATATGAATCAACGTATATTGTACAGTCATTGCATTGGCTCAGTATTAAAATAATTTTACTGACTGGAAGCTTTCAACATGTTTAATCAGTCTGGAGTATAACATTCATTGTCAAAGCACTATGGAATAAGAATCTTAAATATACATTCTGTCAGAAGAGTTAGATTCCCAATTCGAATCCTGATGCATAAATATACAGGCTCTGCAATTAACACTATATGCTATATATCTGCATACAAGAAGAATAACATTGGATAAATGATGATAAATATTATCTATCCATTCATGAGAAATTGCAACATTTTATGTCATATCCTGGGGTGTTTTTGTCATAAAATTTCACCTAACAATCAATTTAACATTTTAATTTACATCTTTGGACTATTGCGCCTTCAGAGTAATGGGCCCTCAGACTGACGGACCATCAGTAACAAAGCCAAATGACCAAGTGTTTGATCATGGATTTCTGTAATTGGGTACAAATGATTATTTACAAATTATTTTGCTGCACAATTTTTATGGAATTTACTCACGGTGTCAAGGGAATTTGTTTGTTGATGCTTTGATATTACAAAAACAAGTTTTTATTGGTTTACAATTACTGTTTCAACCAATCAAAATAATTTGTTAAAACTTGTCAATATTCAGCCAAAGCAGATCAACATGATGATTAGTGTTAACAAAAAATATACAAAGGCCCAAAGTATGGAATCATTTTACATCTCTCTCAAACTGGGAGTCAGAAAATCAAAGTTAGCCAAATACAAGCTACATGTGTTGCATGTAATGAGTAAACAATGTAGAAAAACACATGCCTATGAGGTGAGTTCAACAATTCTACCTTTAAGATGTCAACATTTTGTAGATTATAGTTTTGTCAGGGCTATAGATCTAATTGCATTCTTTCCTGATTTATTAACTTCCTACAAGTTTTCTATGTTGTGCAGTTCTAGGAATACAATGATAGACATGGGTGGGGCAGTGGTAAGTTTACAGACTTCCATTGCTAAAATCATAGAGTTCAATTCCCCATGGTGGATAGAGCACAAATAGCCTTTTTTGTAACCTTGTACTAAAACAAAAGAAACTAATAGAACGGTAAATGTTTTCCTAACTACTCAGATGGTTATGTTCACTGTTAAGAAAGAGGAATATGAGGCTAACACAGCATTAAGCCAGTTTATATCATGTGTTTATGATTTCCTGAGAAAAGAGAGAGAATATATAATTGAAGACTGAAATACTACAGAGGTTAAGTACATTATATTAAAATGACTTTGGAGTCTCACCACATCATTACAATCTATTTTGCCACATCCACTCCTGGTCTATCTAATGACCACGAACTTTGATAATAGTCCTGCAGCATAGTTTCCATTGCAAAAGACTTGTAATGCTGTCATATTCAGAGTACTCTTCCTAATCAACTAGTGTATGAGGACAACAGTTTCCTTGTGTCCATTTCAAAGTTTCATTGTACAGAAATTCATAAGCACTTGACCATCAACTTAACCATTATGTGTTCATATGGAATAGCATGAATATCCATTTCATTACATTTTTACATGTTAGATGGTTTCAATTTTTCTCAATGTGTCAGAATTTTTACTATATTCCAATGGTAAAAATTTTTCAGTATGTGTTAAAATGTTTACAATATTTTGTGTTGTCTATGAGTATCCAATTAAGAGTGCATTCATAATAAGCTGGTTTTGGGGGGGATTTTTTGAGTGTTAATTCAAACACAAAATTAGGAAGTCAGTGTTATCGTCTACAGATCTATATTCAGGTATAAAGTTATACTATGTTTCTGGTACTTAAGTTAATATTTTATACTTTGTTCATCAAATTTTACAGCTGGGTTGTAAGGAGTGCAAATTGTGGAATATACTTGAAAAATTAATAAGTTTAATCTGACAAAACATTACAGCATTTTTTACATAAACTTTTCTTTATTTCCTATACAGATTCACTCAAAATCTGTCTGTATTTCGTCGTGACATCAATGACTTTCTGAAGGGGCCAAATATAGTCAACGCAGCAATGAGTGATATGATGAGCTAACATTAGTTGTGGACCAAAGCTTTTAATGCTATTGAATGTAGACATGCAATTTTTTTTTTTGTTGATGAGAAATACTTGTCGGGACGTATTATGTACGTAAGAGGTTACGTAGATTTGGT